ATTTGCCCAATTAAACAGAGCATTGAGGTCGGCTTGTAAATTGGAGACATCCTGTAATGACGTTATTCCACTGCAAAGACTGAAACAGCATTTGTAATCGCAGACCATATATCCTTTATAAATATATTAAAAAGTAAGGGTTCCATCTCCGAACCTTGGGGTACACCACTGACAACCCTAGACCATTCAGAGTATGAATCATTAACCACTACTCTCTGAATACGATCTTTTAGCCAGTTTTCTATCCATTTACATGCAGATTTTTCCAAGCCGTAGACTTTACCTTACACAATAGCTGTGTGTGGGGAGCTGTTTCAAACACTTTTTTCAAAATCCAAGTATACCATGTCCACAGCCACCCCTCTGTCCAAGGTTTTGCTCACCTCTTCATAAAAAGAAATTAGATTTGTTTGACAACTTCTGTCTTTCATGAATCCATGCTGTCTGTTGCTTAAAATATTTTTTTTCTCAGAAAGAACTAACCTATGTGGTCTGTCCTTTAAACTCTCCAGTATCTTCTCAACTATAGATGTTAAACAAACAGGTCTATAATTACTTGGTAAAGATTTTGACCCCTTTTAAAATATAGGCACCACATTGGCCTTCCGCCAATCCAGTGGTACTATGCCAGTCATTAAAGAGTCCCTAAAAATTTGAAACAATGGCTTTGAAATTACAGAGCTCAATTCTTTAAGGACCCATGGGTGTATGCCATCTGGTCCAGGTACTTTATTCACCTTTATTTTGTCTAAATCTTTCTGTATCATATCAGTTGTGAGCCAATGTGGATCATCTGGAGCTGTGTCAATACCATGCCCATTATGGACAAGAACTCCCCCCCATGCTTCATTGTATGCACAGAACTTAAGAAGGTATTTAATAAATTTGCCTTCTCTTTGTCCCCAGTAACCCACTCTAGGTTATTTTGTAAAGGGCATACATGCTTGAACCTGAGCTGTTTACTATTAATATATTTGAAGAATTTTGGGGGGTTTGCCATCTTTTGCAATCTGTTGTTCATTTTTAATTTTTGTGGCCTTTATTTCCTTTTTGCATTTTCTGTGATATTCTTTGTAATCTTTAAACAATGATAGCGTTCCTTCATTTTTATATTTAATAAAAGCTGTTTTCTTACTATTTATAGCTTTGTTAACTTTTGCCGTAAGCCACATAGGTTTGATTTTTAGCCTTTTAAACGTGTTGCCCTGGGGAATATATTTTGCAGTGTGTACACATACAGTCTTTTTGAAGAACTCCCATTTCTGTGTTGTGTTAATCGATGCCAATATTTCCTCCCAGTCTAAGTCTTGGAGAGCAGCTCTCAGCCTTAAAATTAGCTCTCTTAAATTTGAGAATTTTTATTTTTCCATTTGTGCTTGTTGTTTACAGCTAACAATAAATTAAATCATGTTATGGTCACTGCTACCCAGATGTTTTTATATGGACATTAGTAATAAGCTCTGCATGGTTTGAGATTACCAGGTCCAGCAGAGCATCATTCCTAGTTGGGACCTCTATGAACTGTACCATAAAATTTGTCCTGTACAGTAGGTTTATACATTTTTTGCCCTTTAACTGTTCCTGCAGTGCTATTACTCCAGTCAATTTCCGGGTAGTTAAACTCCCCCAATATTATCACTGTCCAAGTCTTTTGCAGCCCTTTCAATCTGTGCAAGAAGCTGAGTCTCCACCTGCTTGATAACACTGGGTGGCCTATAACAAACTCTTATTACTTTTGCAGTATGCACTCCCATGTGCAGTTCCACCCATAATGCTTCAGCCTCTTCTCACTCTCTGTCAACTAGGTCCTCTTTCACACTGGCTCTGAGATCACTTCTCACGTAGACAGACACCACCACCTTTCCTTTTTACCCTGTCTCTCCGAAAAAGAACATGGCCAGGAATATTAATGACCCAGTCATGTGAAGAATGAAGCCAAGATTCCAGAATACCAATTAAATCATAGTTCTTTTCATGCGCCAAAGCTTCCAACTCACCTATTTTGCTTGGCAGTCTTCTGGCATTGGTGAACAAACACTTTAATGCATTGACACCTTGTGTACACATATTTTGTATATTTTATTTTTTTTCATACAAATGGTACCAATTCCATTGGTTGTTTGTAACTTGGGAACCTTCTTATCACCTGCCATAGTCCTCCCCCCATCTTTCCCCATTCCACCCACCAATAAGGACTGACCCCTGTTTGATCTGTCTGCTGCATTATAATCTAAATACTCCTCCAGTTTAAATACTTCTCTAGCCATCCCATAAACCTCTTCCCAGCACAGCAGACCCCCTTCCATTTAGGTGCAAGCCATCTCTAGCATATAGGTTGCACCGAAATGAAAAGTCAGCCCAGTGCTTTAGAAAACCAATCATTCCCTCTTACACCAGGTCCTTAGCCATGCATTTAGTTCTCTACTCTCTCCCTGTCTTTCCTGAGTTGCGCATGGCACAGGTAATATTTCAGAGAATTATCAGCTTGGAGGTCCTTCTCTTCAACTTGCAGCCTAGTTCTTTTAAATTGATTCTTAAGGAGCCTCCACCTTATCCACCGTGTTGCAACCAATGTATTCTGTCATTGGTTGCAACATGGACCAAGAGAGCTGGGTCACTCCCAGTCCTTCCCAGTAATTTATCAACCCAGTCCACCACATCCCGAATCCTGGCACCAGGGAGACAGCAAACCATTTGGTTGAGGCGATCCTGGCGAAAAATTATTCTAACAGTCCTGATTATAGAATCCTCTACTACCACCAACTGTCTAGGCCTTCCTGCAATACCCTCACCAGCCCTCCCGGATGGTCTGCCCTCCCGGCTATTAGGGATAGCAGTGACATCCAAGGCTGCCACCCCTGAGCTTGCCACCCCCAACACATCTTCCCCCAACTTGGCAAATCTGTTTGGGTGCTTAAACCCAGGGCCGGGCCTCCTTTTCTGTGAGCTCCTACCACTCCCTCTTGCTGCAGTAACCCATCTTCCTACCTGATAATCCTGATTAGCCCCTCCACATCAATCCCATTAGCTACCTGCTCAGAGAGCAGAAGACCCCTTTTAAAGGTTGTCGGTTCTGTCCAGTGTTGCAACTTGCTCCTCCAGATCTCTAACACGAGCTTCCGGAAGGGCAGTCTGCTCACATCTATCGCAGCGGTATCCATCCTGGAGCTGTTGCTCCATTGTTGCATACATGCAGCACACTGTGCACTGCACAAAACCTTCAACCCTGCTAGCACTCATATCCCAGTTACAATATTAATATTCCTAATAGGAAATATCAGTTGTCACTTACAGGTTAGAAGACTCTTGTTATAATCTCCTGCAAGGAAACCTTTCTGGTTTTTTATAGTAACAAGGCAGTGTTCTGGGCCAGTATTTCTTTTGTGTAAGGTAGTGTCTGCCTTACGCCTCAATCAAGACATTTTTTTTTTCCTTCCCTCTATACGGCTTCAATTCACCAAAAGGAAGTTTTTCACCATTGTTTGGATGTGTTTCAGTTCGTGCGTAATTAACTGTCAGCCACTGCTTATTTCAGGAAGACTGATTCTTTTTTTGTTATCCAGCTTCTCTTTTCACAACCTCTTAGGTAGACCATTACCAAAGCCTACAGTCTCGAGGATAGGGTTCTACTTTGCCAGTCAAGGTGCATTCTTCTAGATTTGTGAGAGATTCCTGACCTTTTCAGCACCAAGCAACTGTTTTCCAGGTTTGCAACACTGCCACCTTGTTTTTTTTTTTTTCGCATGTTTTCTAAATTCTACCTGGTGGATGTTTCGACCTAATCTGATGCCAGTTTAAGGTGTAAGGTTATTTAAATAGGTCTTTGAGCTGCAAAAAGTCTCCAGCTCCTGTTGATTATGTTGCCAAGTGTTTGCTATGTTGGGCACCCCTCAGGCTGCTTTTGGGTGTCCCTCAATGAATAAGAAAAAATATGGATTTTTGTGTTTTTTTTTTTTTTTTTTTTTTTCCCTTTCTTGGTGTCCACTGAGGGACACAGGTTCCCCCCCTGGGTTTTTGACCATGTGATTGGAACTGCTTTGCTATAAACCTGGGGCAAGCTGATAGTAGAAGGGGATATCCTGGGCTGGCCTACATTTTATTTTCTTTTTGCCAGTGTTCACTCTTCCTGTAATCAGAAGCACGCCATAAAAGTTACAGACTTCCTGTGTCCCTCAATCGACATCAGGATAAGGATTTTACAGTTAATATAAAATTCCTATTTTTCTGGCTGTAAGGTGATAGCCCTTTATGTTACTACACTTAAACAGGACTGCTGCAAACTCTTCGACAGATACAGAGCTTCTTCTGTGTATGTACACAAAAATCCCAATCCCCTGTCTATTATTCGCGCACATAATACATGATCTCTACATAGAAATGTATAGTATTTTCTCTGTGCCTGTACAAAATAAACAGTCATGGGACTGGCAATAGAGTTTGCAGTGGCAGCTATGCTGCTCCCCCTGGGCTTCACAGTGTGGATCACAGAGGAGCTTGAAAAGGAGATTGTGAAATCTTGGGGGTTGTGGGGTACTTTATAACCAAAGGCAAAGCTTTTTTTTAGTTTTACATAGAGTTTAGATGGATTAGAACGCTTTTTTTTATTGTGGTTTGTGCACCGTTAAGGAGATTCACCCTCTCTATTTGTCCTTTTTACCATTATTGAATGTAAAAGAAAATTTTGGATTGTCCCCAGAAAAGTAATAGAGGGGAAATCTTCCAATGGGGACACTAGTTCTGGTGACCTAGAGGTCTCCAAAGAGTCCCCTCACTTCTTGTTTGGCTGTGGGACAGGAAGATAAAGGAAATCTGTGCAATGGGACACAGATGGCAAAGAAAACAATGTTTGACAGGGGTTATAACTCTCCCTTGCTCTATCCAAAATGAGAAAAAATAGTTTTGCTTATATTTCTACTTTAGAGATTAATTGTATTTATTATATAAACCTATAAAGGCTTACAATTTATATTTATACTAATTTGTGTATCATCATACCACAGGCAGTTGTTCTTTGCATGTACTTAGAAGCTGGCGGCATTAACCTGCAAGGTCGTTCCGTGATAGAACTGGGTGCAGGAACAGGATTGGTGGGAATTGTGGCTGCATTACTTGGTAAGTGTCATAAAAACCATAAAAGGAAATTGTATTATTTGAATTCATTTATTTTACTGTACTGTCTCCACAGTAGATTTTCTTGACAGTTATACAATGCCAGTGAAACAATAATGGTTAGTTTCAACAATAACTTTTAACATACAAGTATATCCACATATCTTCAGCTTCCAATACTCTATGATTCATTTGTATTTGACACAAGTTAATGTTTTTAAAGAACATCTGAGGTAGAATATTTAAATCTCCAAAACAATAGCGTATTTCTTTTTTTCAGTTCAGTGTTATTTTCTGATGTTGTGTTGTTTATTGAAAATCTACATAAGTATTAAAAGCAGTATTTACCCAAAAACAAAAAAAACATTTACAGCTTACAAATTCTCAGATGTGGTGGCTGCATTAGTTTTCCTTTTTGATTTTTTTTTTTCTATTGGCATTTTCCCTTTATTTTCACATGGTGACCCTGCCAGTAAGTCTGTTATTTTTCAACTTACTTTAACAGACCACGCCATCCAAACGTAGTGGAAGTTATAGGGTTCCATCAAATAATTTAACAGTGATAGGGCTGCTTACAATGATCAGCTTTTTATTAATTTATGTAAAACATTTATCCCAAAAGGAAAAAAATATTGTAACTGTTTAGTTCAATTGAATGAGCTGCTGTGCCCATGCAAACATGGCTTCTGGGAAACCAGCATAATGTGAATCTTGGCTTAGCTGGAGTTCATCTTCAGTCTGTTAGTCAAGTCCATCTAAATCTGCTAGTCCAACACTACCCTCTTGGCAGACTGACAGTGCTACTATCCAAAGGTGTCTGCTTCACTACTTCATCCAGAATGCAGACACCCTAAGACAGGAATTGTGTTACTGGCTGGATCACCAGGTAAATTAAAGGCAAAAAAAAAGCCTGTAAAAGAAAACTAATGCAGCCACCACATCTAAGAATTGGTAAGCTGCAATATATTATTTTGGTGTGTGTGTTTTATTTTTATAAATGTATTTAACAAGATTCATGCAGCTTTAAAACTTTTTTTTGTTGGATTTAGATTTAAAAATGTGCGATCGGTAAAAGTTGTGTGAATCTTGGGTGAAAAGATTTATAAGACCTGCAAGTGTTTCTCCATGTAATTCACAGAAATGAATAATAATGGACTGACTTGCATAACAAAAATTTAAAAAGTAAAAAGATGTACTGCACTCTACAAATCTATATATCCATCCATCCATCTATCCATCCATCCAGTCGTATCCGACCCTTGGCGATTGCATGGACAGTCACTCGTAAGCGACTTTTTCCATGAATTGTCTTAGCAATTATTTTACAGGGTAGGTTGCCAGGCCTTTCCCCAACGCCTACCATGCAGGAGATCCCGCATGGCCAGGGATGAAACTAGGACAATTTAGACAGGAGCCAATTAACCTACCAGCATGCCTTTGGAGAGTGGGAGGAAACCGGAGTACCCGGAGGAAACCCACGCAAGCACAGGGAGAACATGCAAACTCCATGCAGGAGACACCATGGTTGGGAATTGAACCCATGACCCATTTACTGCACGGCAGACGTGCTAACCACTAAGCCACTGTGCTGCCCAACTCTACAAATACAATATAAAAACCTCTTTAGCACAAAGACTTAAATTCCCCCAAATGATAGAGCTCTATAAGCAGCTGACATACTTCCTGGTGTTATCCTGTTTACCACAGTCAGCGCTAAAGTAAATCTAGTCTCCCTTCTAGAAATAGCCCACCACAGTTATGAACAGCATGTGGCAGTTTTGAGTGATGGTACAGTGAACTCGATCTGCAAGTTGGACCAAGTTCACTGCAGCACCAACAATGGATAATAAAAATTATGTATAGAAACCGTTTTTATAGTGTCTCCATGGCTGTAGAATTCTGATATATGTAGAAGAATTAAAAGGGCATGCTCTCTGAATGCAGAAAATGTAGATGCTGAAGTGCCCCTGCTCTTTTTGTCCACGGAACAAGCGGAACAAAACCATCTTATCCTTCACAGCCAAGGAATCTGCCATCTTGGCCTCTATTTGATCTGCAGCTGCCATGGTGCTGCACATGTGATCAGTTATACCACCATACATGTGATGTGTTCACAGTTGATTTTCAGAGCACAAAAAAATGTGTGAGTTATCATTCCCAGCATGGTTATACATGTCACTACCCGTGTGACTCATAACTAATCAATTATTAACATGACTTGTTACATGAAAATACGTGGAAACCAATATGTCCAAAGAAATCAATAGACAATCAGTAGACAAAGTTCCATAGTGATGATACTCAATATAGTCCCAGTCTAAAAGCCGTGTTTTCTATCTCCAATGTGCCAATCTTGCTCCACTTCATGCACAATAAACAAAGATCCACACCAACATGCAAAGTCACCACCTTTCCTCTTAGGTGCTCACCTCTAGTTATGGACCTAAGAACATGTGTTATTAGGTCTAGATGGGTGTTTTACCCTCCACGAGGTATAAATGTAATAGCCTTTATCTTCTTGGTTAACCGTATGGATGATCTTCTCCTTTAATTAATCCTGGTGGATGTCCCTTTTAAGAGACTGCCGGTCTCTTCCTTTGCTCACAGTACACTCAAGAAAACATACAATGGCCTCTCATAGTGTGGTAAACCTCATTCTAGGCATTTATTAACAGTAATGCACTTACAATAATCAAATGGTTAAAAAAAGCCTTTAAAATCTCACTGTACAGCTGCAAATCGGCTCTCTTGCAGCATCAGCGTCACTCAGCTCCTTCTACGCGTTACGTCATGCCATGTGACGTCATCAAAACTTTACATTTCCTTTTAGCAGTTTAACATAATTGTATAGGAGAAAATTACCAGACGACTTCTTTATCTAAATGCCAGTCTGTTTATTAGTGCAATATCCCTGCCAGGTCTGTGACTGCTGTTTCTCAGACACATAACTATATAGTAGAGTTCTATGTTAAATTTTCACTGCATTTAAAAACAGGGTCATTTGACTAAACCAAATGCACAGATCTCTTAATCTTCCATATAGTGAACCAGTGACCAGGCTATGGCCAATAGTATATAGACCATAGTAGATGAGCTTTGAAAGAAGACTTCCCTGACTTCTAGTTACCAGTACCGTGATGCAATTGATGCTCAAAGTTCATAGCAGAAGCATGTTCTCAGAGCAGCTCTGTTCACCCTGCTCCTCTGTCCCAGCAGACTTGTCATCTTTCTAATCTGTTTTGTAAAAACAGAACAGATTCTTAAGGAGCAGAGTAAACTGAGCTGCTGAGAGATGCTGACATGAACAACATCAGTGTGCACATTGTATTTTTAGTATTTAAAAAAAAAAAAGTTTCTTAATCGCACAGTACAGAACGCAGGATCTTAAAGCATGGGTGATTGGACACTGGCAAAAAGAGTTGCTGGGACACCCCTCCTATAATCCCTCCCACTCCCCCCTAGCTTCAGTTATTTGCTAGTGTCTTGATGTGATTGACCTCTTTTTTTTCTACTGAGAGAAGCTTACTTAAATATTTCCCTAAGATGATTATCTTATCAATATTTATGGCTGCACCATAGCTGGATGCACCCAGACCCTGCTTGGATGAAGATGTGGGGTCGGCCTGTATGTTGCTTCAGAGCATGGGCTGTAATACTTTAAGCAGTGTGTCGCAGCCATGTATGGGATTCACTGGCTAATAAACTTTGGCGCTCATTTTTTGGGGCAAGTATATTGCATTGGGTGTCACTGTGCCTGCATGGCCTTGTTCTCAGTGGTTTCACTGAGTATGTGCATTGCCATTTTCCTCTGCGCATGCTTTCTTCTTGCTGCCCGCAGTGCTCAAGGCTTCATCCACAGTACAGCACAGAAACCCCTAGACATCTACCTGGGTGCACCAGCTTACAGTGTCTGACACAAAAGGCTTAACCCTTACCGCTAAGTAGCAGCAGATGTTGTGACGACCCCTCCGGGAACATATTTTTACACTGCACCTAGCAAATCACAAGCGCAGGGTTAAGAAGTGGGGGGGGGTGGGGGTTAGTAGTCAGTCTTCACAGGGCACTACTAACCTCTACTGTAAAAGGGGTGCAGCGCTTAAGAAATATAAAATCAATCAAAAAAATTATAGGTTTCAAATGCAAAGTTCATATATATAAAAACCGTTAAAAAAAGTGACTCTTGTGCTCTTAAAGTGTTTGATATTATGGAAGCAGTGTCCGTGCACTATTAGTGTAAGTAATGTGCACTCACCGGACGTACATATATAATAAGCCCTTTTTATCAATATTCCAGGTGTCATCAAGGAGGGTCAGGAGCTATGTAGTCTTCCCTCTAAAGGATGGATGGTCATCAGACAGGATCCTTAGGGCTTTATAGGTGATCCACGTCCACCAAAGTTCCCCTTTACGGGTTAAATGGGTGTTGCTCCCCTGGATGAGAGATCCCTCTCTGGATATAGAATGGGTCTCGTCCTGAGGCAGGATATCTGGGAATTAAAGGCTCCCCCTAACATACAAGACAAAAGACTTGGTGATGGTGCGATGAGATGTATGCAGGCTGTGTGGGATGATAGATGAGGTTGTCTCCGATCTCAGATCTCCATATCACTGGATGTCCTGTACACAGCTCAGCTGTCAAACATCAACTGCACTGCAAGTGGAGAGCGAAGTGCACCTAATACCGGGACACAGACATGTGCAGGGCAGATACAGCCATCTGATCCTGTTTAGCGTTAGTCTACTTACCCCAGTTTCTCCCACCTGGGGTCCCTACAGTTTTATGCTATTGCCCATTAAGACCTTTACAGTCCACTTGCTCCTAGAGACCATCCTATATGGTGAATTGCCTCTCCCTGAAAAGCTGCTTACGAATTCAAAGCTTTTTGCTCAGCAATATCCTATTGTGGAGAATTTCATCTGAAAATGAATGGTCCCTGTTGTGGACCTCTGCCATGTTGTCTTGCTTGGCAGACCCTCCATGGCAGTTTGCCATAGACGCTACTTCCATCCTAATGGATCATTTCGTACATCAACAACTAGCGTTTTTACCTGTGGCCCTACTCTACAGCATGAATGGTTTGGCAGATACCCTCTGCCTGATCTCCAGGATGAGCTCTCTTTAGTTCAAATGTTGGTTAACAGAAACTGCTTAAACATCTGCCCTTTGAAGGAGACTGTCTGCTTGGTCCCTTCTTCGCTAAGTACATCAAAGGAATCACAGGGGTCAAAGCTTTTCTCCTTCCCCAGAAAAAGAAAGCATGTGCTTCTGTGCAGAGCTCTTCTATTTCTGAGGTTATGAAAATGTTTTTGTCCCCTCTCAGGCCTACAGCTCTGAACCAAAATATGGAACAAACGTTTATCTGAAGACATGGTCCTCCATGTCCTCTTCCCAGTTAAGAGGTGCCCTCACTTTTCAGAGTAGGGAGATGTCTCTCAGCCTTATGATCCATAGATCATTATAGATTTAATAACAAACTGGACAGGTTAGTGTCCAGGTCCTGGGAACCTCAAGCCTTCACAGTAGACACTGAGTTCGTGGGATCAATTCCACCAAATCTACATCTTTCTGCTTCACAGGATCAAGAGCATCCCAGTGATTCTCATCACACTAAACAAGCCCAGGAGGATGTGGTATTTGGGCATACTCCTTTTTTTTTTTTTTTTTTTTTTTTTAGCCTTTCTGGATTGTCCATACCTCCTTTCAGAAGCACTAGACCACTGTCCTGCTTTTCATTCACTGGCTTTTACGGCTTGAATGTTGAAATCCAGGTTCCATTAACATCATGAAAGACACAAAAGCTGACTTCTCAGAAAGTCTATCCTAACACCTGGAAAGCCTATTTTGCTTGGAAGTTCTGTCCTAGGAAGTTCTCCATGGACATATCCTACATGTTCTACAGTCTGGTCTAGATTGGCAACTGGCCCTGGGTACCATTAAAGGACAAAAATTGACCTTGTACAATCTGTTTCAGAAACGGTTAGTCTCTTATTGTGTAGTCAAGGCTTTTGCACAAGATGTCACACACGTCTCCTCTTGTATGTTCCCTGGTTACTCCGTGGGATCTTAACTTCGAATCTGTAAAGAGATATTAACTTATCTGACCTTACTTGCAAAGTGTCCTTCCTTGTGGATATCACTTCTATGCGAAAGCTCTGAGCTATCGACCTTATCCTGTAAAGAGCCTTTCCTAATGTTACACAAACACATGGTCAGTGGGAAGAAAGCCACCCTTACAGGTAGCTAAAAGACCATTGGTATCGTGTCAAAGGGCATTGGCTCTGGAACTTTGTAGGCACCATCAAATGGGAGGCTGATCACTACAAATCAAGGAATCCCTAGTATCCCCTGGAGGAACTTTGGTTGAGAATGGCTGGTCTAATGTTAAAAGTTCCTCCTTTCCATTGTAAAACGCACTGTACGAGATGTATTAGTGCTTCATGGACTTTTTAGCATCAGGCATCTGTTTCTCAGATTTGCAAAGCTGTCACCTTGTTTTCTGTTCACATATTTGTTACGTTCTACCAGGTGGATGTTCAAGCCTCCTTTGATGCCAGCTTCAGGTGTATGGTGCTACAGGCTGCTTTCTGTCGGGCCTTTTTGACTTGTTTATTCTGTTAGCCTAGTAGCATTTGTTTTGTTGCCTACCCCTCAGTTGGACTGAATTTGGATGTCCCAGGGTTTGACTAAAGATCCTGTTTCCTGTACTGTTCTACTAAGAAAATAGGATTTTTCTTTACTTACCAGTAAAATAATTTTCTTGGAGTACTGTACAGAGCAGTGGTCCCTCCCCTCTGTTCTTATGATCTCCCTATTATTTGCTACAAAACTGAAGCTAACTGTGAGTGAGAGGGGTTATAAAGAAGAGCTGTTCCCACAGCTTTTTTTTTTTTTTTTGCAGTGTCCAATCACCTGAACGTAGCTGCATATAACCCAGTTTTATGACTAAAAGATCCCATTCCCTGTACTGTACGTCAAGAAATGGATTTTACTGGTAAGCAAAAAATCCAGTTTTTCTTTCTGGCAAGCACTGTCCTAAGTGCCCTTATGTCTCGTAAATCCTAGGCAAGATGATGTGGGTTTTCAACAACATAAGGGTCTGTCTGATGAGTCTCTAATCAGTGAGGCCTGTCTTGATGGGCATTTGTTTGCTTCAAGTGAATTTTTCATTACCATATAAGTCTATGGTCACGCAAATCTGCTTTTAGCTGGTCAGAAGGTGGTCAGCTGCAGGTCATATGCACCTGTTAGTGAATTCTGATGTTTGATAATGTCAAACTGATGTCATCAATGCCCAAAGCCAGTTAATACAGACCCTTCAAGAGGCACTGAAGAAATTTTAAAACAGACTGCAAGCAGGCAGGCTTTTATCACAGAAGAGATATGCAATGTCTCTTCTGCAATAAAATAGACCTACCTGCCTGCTTGCAGTCTTCTGTAGCATGTACAGTTGTGTTCAAAATAATAGCAGTGTGTTGAAAAAAGTGAACAAAGCTCAAAATCCTTCTAATAGCTTTTATTTCCATACACACAAATGCATTGGGAACACTACACATTCTATTCCAAATCAAAACATGAAGAAAAATATATCAAATTTGTGTTGTTTCTCTAAAAAATTTGAAGAAAAGTGAATATTAGACTGTTCAAAAAAATAGCAGTGTTTGTATTCTTCTTTACAAACTCAAACATTCACTATATAAACTGAAAAATGTTTGAAGATTTTGCATTCCTTTGAATCAATTAATATTTAGTTGTATAAGCACTGTTTCCGAGAACTGCTGTACATCTGTGTTGCATGGAGTCAACCAACTTCTGGCACCTGTGAACAGGTATTCCAGCCCAGGATGATTGGACTACATTCCACAGTTCTTCTCTATTTCTTGGTTTTGCCTCAGAAACTGCATTTTTGATGTCACCCCACAAAATTTCTATTGGATTAAGATCCGGGGATTGGGCTGGCCACTCCATAACGTCAATCTTGTTGGTCTGGAACCAAGATGTTGCACATTTACTGGTGTGTTTGGGGTCGTTGTCTTGTTGGAACACCCATTTCAAGGGCATTTCCTCTTCAGCATAAGGCAGCATGACCTCTTCAAGTATTCTGATGTATTCAAACTGATCCATGATCCCTGGTATGCGATAAATAGGCCCAACACCGTAGCATGAGAAACATCCCCATATCATGATGCTTGCGCAACCATGCTTCACTGTCTTCACAGTGTACTTGAATTCAATGTTTGGGGGTTGTCTGACAAACTGTCTCCGGCCACTAGACCCAAAAAGAACAATCTTACTTTCATCAGTCTACAAAATGTTGCGCCATTTCTCTTTAGGCCAGTCAATGTGCTCTTTGGCAAATTGCAACCTCTTCAGCACGTCTTTTTTTCAACAGTGGGACTTTGCGGGGGCTTCTTGCAGATAGCTTAGCTTCACATAGGCGACATTGTAACAGTACTCACAGGTAACTTTAGATCTTCTTTGATCTTCCTGGAGCTGATTGTTGGCTGAGTCCTTGCCATTTTGGCTATTCTTCTATCCATTTGAATGGTAGTTTTTTTGCTTTTTTCCACGTCTTTCAGGTTTTGGTTGCCATTTTAAAGCATTTGCGATCATTTTAGCTGAGCAGCCTATCATTTTCTGCACTTCTTTATATGTTTTTCCCTCTCCAATCAACTTTTTAATCAAGGTACGCTGTTCTTCTGAACAATGTCTGGAACGACCCATTTTCCTCAGAATTTCAGAGAGAAATGCACTGTAACCAGCAAGTACAACATTTGCTGCCTTCCTTCCTTAAATAAGGGCAATAATTGCCAACTGTTTTTCAGAGAATGAATGACCTTACTAATAGAACTCCACACTGCTATTATTTTGAACATGCCCCTTTCAATAAGTGATTCAATTACACAGAATCAGCAGCATGCATGTCAGGACTGTTGGGTCTGTTGGATTTCTATTACTCTACTACACCTGCTAGTAAATTATTTGCCATGTAGAAATATCATTTCTACCAAAAACAGTTTGATCAGGTTAGTGATGTCTGACTGCTATTATTTTGAACACAACTGTAAATCAAGCTGCACATGCGCAGCTCAGCTTACATCACCCAGCACAGTCTCTATGTGCTGGGATGACTGACTTTTGTGCATTTGCAGGAGTTACATCATCCTGCACTGGTCAACAGAGATGCTTCAAGACTGGCACCCGAGAGATGCCAGCACCAGCAAGGGACCCAGACCATTAGAAAGGTGGTACGTATAGTGCATTTTGTACTGCTTTAAGTGTTAAATCCATGTAGAAAAATACCATTTGGTCAGAGAACTGAAGGACCATTAAGTCAGGGATACTTGTTGGTTAAATGTGGTACACAGGTTTTTGATGTCAGTCAGAAATCTAAAACAATTTTACTAAAGTGTTTTACACAGTCAATTTTTTTTGTTCTAGGTGCTGAAGTTACAGTCACAGATCGAGAAGTAGCCTTGGAGTTTCTGAAAACAAATGTTCATGATAATCTTCCAACAGATCTTCTACACAAAGTGTCTGTGAAACCACTCACATGGGGCAAAGGGTTGGAGAATTTCTCAACATTTGATGTCATAGTAGGAGCAGATATCGTCTATCTGGAGGAAACATTCCAAGATTTGCTGAAGACTATTCTCCATCTGAGTACAGAAAATACTGTTATCTTATTGTCATGCAAGCTTAGATACCAACGTGATAATCAGTTCCTGGACATGATGAGGCAACATTTTCAAGTGGTTCAGGTCCTTTATGATCAGAATGTTGATGTCCATATTTTTAAAGCGCTGAAGATATGTCAGAGAGAAGAACTTTAAAGCAGAAAAAGATTATCATATGAGGCAAAGATGCGCATTGCCATTATGTGACTTTCTCAAACCATACTACCTACTTCCAGGGCAGAATGATACAAAGCCAGGATCCTGCCCAAAAACTAGCATTTCTTCTGGAAATTGACCTAAAAGGAATGTAAAACAAGAGCTGACTTGACTGGTTCCCATTAAGCCCCACTGGGCATCGGCTATATACTATTAGTACATCTTAATTTGGCCCATCTACTGTACATAACCTTCTTGAAGTATGGATTACATGTTTATACTTTTCTGTCTTCAAGGTGTGGTAAAATATTTTCATTAAAAATATATACTTCATGTAAACCCTGTATATCGCCACCTCAGCATTCTTTCACAGGGTTGCGCCTATTTTTAATAATTTACTTTTGCCTATGATCCATATGATGTCACTAGGTATATCAAAGGGCTATGGACTAGGTTCATTATTTGCAATACTTTCTCTATCTGAACATGGTTTTACGTTGGCTATTTGCTCCTTTTGATAACCATCAACAATTTGTACATTATAATCTACACTAATTTGAATAGGTAACAATAATCTGGAATAGTTTTCTTGACATTTGCTACCTTTGAGATGAGATATCAGTGAGATATCGCTGGTTCAGTACAGGTAAGCATGTTTATGAAGTGATGGTTTTAAAGTAAAACTCCTAACAAACTGCACATGGGTGAAATACATTTATGCTTTCTATATATAAAAAATGGTGAAGTGCTACACAGTAAAATAAATAACACAAATTCTATAATACAACATAATTATCCACACACAGTGCTCTGATACAATCTGTATCCAATAGTGAATAAACACATGAAAAAATGGTGAAAAATTAGGAAACCCTGTATAAATATACACTTAAACGAGTGACTTAAAAAAATAAAATATATATATAATATAAATCCCTCCCGTCCCAATGATGGGACTATGCAAATAGTGTACCAAGTGAATCCCCTAATGGGGACAAACAATATCAGTGATTAGTGATAATAAATAACAAAGAACCTATTCATTTGTAATGTGTTATTTATTTTACTGTGTAGCACTTCACCATTTTTTATATATTGATTTGCACACGCCTATTGGGTCAGGTTGAGTGAGAGCAGCTTTGTTTAGGGAAATCCATATAAGCGCAAGATGTATATAAATGACCTAAATTGTTTGTTTATGCTTTTTGTTTATCTTCCAAAGGATTTTTCATTTTGGCTAGGCTTTTTTGTGAAACATGTCTCTACCAGTTGGTATTACTTTCCAGGGCTAGCTGTCACATACCTGCACAGAGGTGATAGGACCGATTCGCTGTCATTGCTGACTTTTGAACCCAAAAGATGAATTGCTTATTTTGGAAATTTGTGGACACTTGTCTGTAGGTAAAATGAATTAAATATATTCTCATTCTCCTTTTATGCTACAAGCAGACCCCACCTTATGTATGGTCGTGCGCAATAGGTGGAAGCTGTAGGTGACAGCCATCTTGTCACGTCTCGGCCATTTTGTTTTGCCTGAGCCCAGTGATCTTACCTACTCTCTTCTCCTGCAAACTATGGAATTCATAGCTTTAACTTTTAACACACTTCAAAAGAGCCTGTTATCTCAAATTAGGGACAGTAGACACCAGCACAAAGGCCTTTGTTGGAGCTATAGCTTGCTTATTATGGACTGCAGAATATCTGTTTCTACAGACCATAAAACACTCTACAAACACTTCCCTCTCACCTGTTGTAAAACAATGACAAAATCCATACATTCTGTCACACAACGTATAAGGCAATAAGGCACTAGGAACATGTCGAGTGCCATAAAACGTCTACACAGAAAGCAGCCAGGTGTGGTTAACCTCTCTGAGACCTATGCCCAATTAACTTAACAAAATTTACACATAATTCATAAAATCCCACAGGACCAAGACACATTATTAACTATTTATTTGAATGGGGAATATCCAGAATGCAACCTGTACATAGTGGAAGATATTAATATTATTATAAAACTGTATTTGGGACTTAGTCATAAACATGGTGACCTCTCATCCCTCACCCCTTAAACCAGATGATTGGTCAGATGGTCTCTGTCAACACCCCTTTTGATACCACAGAAAAGGGAATGGCAGGACCTGTTGTCAAGCTCACGCTTTACCACCAAGGAAGTAATGTCTGTCAAGTTATAAGATCCGATAACACCTTGCTTATTGACTGAACTCTGCTAAAACCAAGGAATTTGCAAGTATTCTTCATTTCCAACTTCCTTTTAATTCTCTGTTGCTTTATGGTTTCTTTATTTTTGTAACATTTGTTTCTGTAAATATTTTTATTTGAGACATTTTGACCTTTTCATCAATATACCCTATTTTGAAAAGTGTAAAAGCTGTCTCTAAGTCTTTTAATACTAACTAAAGGTATCCCTGTCTCCAGTGCTACTGGTATGACAAATCTCTGAATATACCTGTCTGTGGTGACAGTGTGTACACAAATGTTTATTGTTCACATTTGTTCTGGCTAATATTGTGATAGGTTGATATGTCCAAAGATATCTGGTGGCAGTGGAGTTTAAAGGGTTAATTGCTTAGGTATCTTAACCCAGTGACAATTGCTCTCAGGTTGTTGGCACCTACATTGTGGCCCTGCGAGATGGAAAATCTTTGTGCAGAGTGCAGCTGAGCATGGCATTGTTAAGCAAGTGACAGCGTGGTGTGAGACTGGCCGGTCCCTTGTCACTAATTGGTGAGAAGAGTAGGGGTCGGGCACCACTTTCATCACACCTTAGTCTCAACTCCCCCTTACCCACTATGTGCCTGTACATTTTTATGTCAACTTGTTGACAGACATGACTCTGGGCAATCAAATTGTGCTTGCTTGTGCAACCACTTTCCTATGTCTTTAGGTCCACCTTCTCAGTGATTCTCAATAATTGGTGAATTATTTGTTAAAATAAGAGTGGGTTCAGTGTTTTTGCTCCTTTTTCTGTCTAACATAAATTCAAGGTAAATTTAGTCACGGTCGGTGTTCTAGAACAAAGAAAAATAATCTTGCATGACTATGTATTAATGCTGCAGATTCCTGTTTCTATGGCAACTTAGAATATAGATCTTGTGACCATGAAATATCTTTTCAACATACCCATGTACTGTTGACTTGAACTGTAATTAAAACAATCATTCCTATACATTTGCATTGTATAAAAAAACTGTGTCCCAACACATACTCCAGACCAGGGTTTCTCAACCAGGGTTCCCTCCAGAGATTGCTATGGGGTTCCTTGAGCAATTTCTGCCTCTCAGATAAGTTTCCAATGATACCATTGATCGTTCTAGTTATTTCTAGCTTTCAAGTTATTTGCAAGGGGTAATTCTTCCCAATAAGCACAAGTGGAAGAAACATTCTTCAAGACTAGGAAAACGTACTTTTTTGGTTGGATAAACTATAGTTATTTAATTGCATGAGATGAACTCTTTCTGCTGTTTTTATGAAGAAGAGTATTGGTCTGACTTAAAAGCAACCTGTCATAATCTCAAATCCTGGCACTGGATGCCCATCCTTCCTCCTCGGACGCAGCGGCTCTCCCACTGCACAGAGTCTGGACTATTAGATACCTGAGGATTTCGGTGACCAGAGAACCCTGTGATTATTATAAGCTCAATGTAGAACCCCTATTTGCAATCCTGAAGGCGTGAGTATGGTCCTGGGCCACAACTCCCTGTGGGTGTTCTGGGTAGAATTAACCTGGTTAAAATTGATTTTGCTACCAAAATTTTTGCATGTGTTCTGGCATCCCCCGGTATTATTACCCCTGAAAGTTTTCAAAACGATTGAGGGCATTCTGAATTCCTTTGTTTGGGGGGCTGGTAGACACAAACTCAACCTGGCATGCCCTGAAAAACCGAACGACGCAGGGTGGGGGGGCCCTACCGGATTTCCATGGTTATTATTTGGTGGCGCAACTGTCCCATTTTTATCATCTAAACAGTTTGGAGGCTGCCCGCTATCAGGTCTTGGTCTGCGGTCAACCAGGTCGCACCTTCTTCTCTCCAATACATGTGGTGATGCGAGATGGTGGCCGCACGGGCCCCCTGGTACCCCGTGGTGGAATGATACACCATCAAAAACGTGTTTGGGATCTCGCTCTTAAACGCACACATGACCCCGAATTTCACTTGCATGTCCCTTTGTGGCTTAATCCTGGGCTCTCTGAGCTTCTCACCATCCTGGACCCTGAGCAATGGTCATCTAGGGGCATGCTATATCTACACCAAGTGATTACGCCCAATGGGCCCAACACATTTCAAACTTTGAAAGAAGAATTTGTTCTCCCCAATTACTTGCTATTCGGATATCTCCAACTTTGTCATGCTTTTAAGAGCTCAATTTGGAGGGGAGTTCCCATGTATCCGGACTTTGAATTTGCTGGAGGTGATTATGGGATCCGAACACATGAAACTGAACTCTACTCTGTATGCTGCTCTGCGGGCCAATGCTGTGTCTGAGGTGGAATCTAGGGTCAAATCTCATTGGGATCATGACACAGACCACATGGACTCGGAAACTTGGGATGAGGTGTTGGACAATGTAAAATGGGTCTCCCCAAAATTACTCGATAGACTCGCCCAACTTTACATCCTACATCGGGCATATCTTACGCCATTACGTGTCTCTCACTACCGTCCTGGTCATTGCCCTCTTTGCCCGTGGTGTCGGATGTCTTCTGGTACTTTCATTCACAGACTAAATGCAATATTTGATTTTTGGCAGCATCCCTTAATTAGTATAACCCAGGATTTCTTAGCTAGGGTTCCTCTGGAGGTGTCTAGGGGTTCCTTGAGCAATTTCTGCCTCTCAGATAAGTTCCCACTGACACCATTGATCTTTTTAACTATCTGTAATGGGGGAATGTCTTCCCAATGTCCACAAGTGTAGGGATCATTCTTCCCACTTACCATCACAGTAATACATCATGAGTTGTAGATAGTCATTTT